GGGTTGGCGACATCTGGGCGTCATCCTCGAGCGTAGTATACTAACGTGAAGGTTTTTCAGTTTTTTCCTATCTTCTACTACAGTTTTGGTCCGATTCTTTTCAAATTGGTGTCGTCGGAAAGATGTAAACGCGCACAACTCCTGCTTGGCGGAATTTTGTTTTTTGTCCTAGGGGCGAAATTAACGACCTTTTGCGAGGCGCGCACGCGCGTCTTCGAGAAGTGGTCAACTTCGGGCGCCTTTTACCTTCCGTTGCGAACTCACGCGGTTTAACGTTTCGTAAATCTCGAATCGCTGTCTCTCTTTCTCGTGTCGCCATTAGGAGCGAATTGCGGGTGAACGGGACGTCGGAAGTGGCTACCGTCAAAGGGAATGTGGTAGCCCCCGACCCGATTTTAACTTTAAAAGCGAATTGCGGGTGCACGCGGAAAGTGGGAAACGGTTAGTGAATGTAGTAGCCTTCGACAAGATCTGTTATTGATGGTTGAGTCGAAAGTGGCTAATAGAATACTGATCCTGCCACACAAAAATGCGCTGAAGTCCCTTCGATCTCACACGAGGACTTTGATAATTTTTTGGATATAGCAGCACAAAAAACTTATTCTATTCCATAATCAAATTTAAGAGAAAAACTCGTGGAATAACTCAAATTAAGGAAAATAGTGTGCTAATTAATTTCATAATTTTGTCATATTAAAAAAAATATTCTTTAATAATACCTCACCAAAAATAGTGCTTTCCACGAGGCTTTCCATTAAAAAAAAGTGACTCTTAGTTCTGTTCAGACGCACGCCACTATAGATAATTTTTACGCATAGAGATTTACTGAAGTTTTTTTTATGATCTTTGATACAATAAATTGCTTTCACATAACTAACAAAAGAATGTTGTTTTTTTAACGCCAACTAGTCAAATTATTAAATTTTATAACACAGCCGTTTTCTTTAATTAGAATTTTTCTCAAATTTTTAAATTGTGTAATGTACTAATAAGTATTTTAATGATGATGATGAAAACTAGTGGTTTCCATTAAAAAAAGATAACCCTCCTTGACCATGCAGAAACCACTGACCACAAATTTCCAAGTGCGTAGACTGGTATTAGTAAACTTTTTATAATTTTGGATAGATAGGTACCATAAAAAGCTTCTTTAAAGAAAAACGTTGTTTTGAAAGTACATTCTAGACAAAATTTTTACACTGTATTATGAGATATAATTTATGCATTAATTTCAATAGTAGATACCTATATATTTTTTTTAATATTTGAAAAAGTTAAGCGTTAATTTTCACTCGGATCGTTGTCCTTTTCAGGTGGTGACTCGTTGTCGCTGTCATGTTCCATTAAGGATAAATCGAGGGTTAAATGCTTGTATAGTTTATAGCGTTTTCGCAGCATTTGGTGTTTTTATTGACATCAAACAATTTTTGCCCTGTCTAAACACAAATAGTGTTCGGTAAATATTGGAAAATTATTAGGTATGCCATTGCCGAACGTGTATATAAATTCCTTTAGAGTATACTGATTTTAACTAAATTTTTCATTGTTTTATAACAAACTCTCGAATAAACTGCACCAATATCAACAACGAGCAATAAGGTTATACTTACCGAGTATTGAGCAAAATTTAGTCAGTTAGTCCCTTTACCATTGCCTACCTATTACTGAAAACAGAATTGGAAAATTCAAAACTGTTCGAGAGTTCTCATGTACACAGACTGACTAACGGGCGGACGAACACATAGAAATTTCAAAATCATGAATTCGCTTTTTTCGCTCGTTAATAAAGAAAAAGATTGTCTAACATTTTTACATTCATTTCATTTTACAATCTACTAGTACTACAGTCACAAAAAGTTTAAATCTCGGTTTTGAAAATACCTGTACAGAATTTTCTGGAAATATAGTTCAAAACCAAAAAATCGAAGAATTTAACTCCTTGATTATAAGTATGAATAAAAATAGTTTCTCCATAATTATATGGTTTTCTTTAACAATTTAAATATTCAATTGTGCACATTGAAATGTTTCTGATTGATGCAAACAGTAAATTAAAAAAAATAAACTAGCGCGAAATGTGTCCAGTGGCGTAGTAAAAACGATCAGTGACTCAATTAGAAACATAAATAAGTGTCAAGTGTGGCATAAATAAAAATTCCTCCCTAACTGTAATCTTAGAGACCTTGCATAAAAATAAACTATCGAAAATAATTATTGTGCCGCATTGAAACAAGTTGTCTAGCTAGACTACTAGAATGACCTTAGCGCATGCGAATATCTCAAGATCAAATATGACCCCATATCGACCTTGCTTATATCTATTATGATTATTATCTATTATTACCTATTCGCTTGTCTGTCGTGAAATGTTGTGAGTAAGCTCCATTCAATCAATTTCTTGCATATATTGAGCAAATTACCACTTTTTTGTCAAAAAATCGTACCTATGGTATATAAGTCGAGGTATAAGTGTTGCTTTTTACATGATTGTTGACCAGTTGTATGTACAAATATAGGTACCTATATAACTATTGCGTGGGCCGATCGATCTCCCTCTAATAAATCGTGGCTAACCACATGTAAAATAAATTGATGTTGTCGTGAAGGGATTTCTAATTTAATTTTCGAAGATCTTGAAAGGTCCTATAATCCTTTAAAAGACTTTGGGAGGATTTTAAAAGCTCTTAGAAGCTGTTAGCGTCTTAGCGCGGGTTAGCGACTTAATATAAAGCGTTTAAAACAAATAGTACTTAAATGCATTTAGAGACCATTAAAGCTCGCAAAAAGCTCTCTTAAATCTTAAAGATTATTAAATGCTATAAACGATTCTTAAAAGTCGTTATAGGCATAGGCTTTAAAGGCTACCTGAAAGCCGTAACAACCATTGAACGCTTTTGGCAAGAAAACATTTTGTAACTCACGACGGCTCTGTACCTGTACCGTATAAAAATATGGCAATATACTAACACATACTGATTTTTACATTGGATGCGACCAATTTTTCTCCTCCTATACCTAGGAAGGAACAATTTACCATTCTCTTTTGTCAAATAGGGGTCTATTCCCATAGATTGTGCATTACTCTACAAATTATTGCCCAATTATACAAATAATCTTTCAGGCTGCAAATTGGGATTAGATTCTTGAGGATGTCACCAAGAACCCTGTGAATTATCATAAGAAAGTGTGCAAGTACACTCGCTCTTCAAAGTTTCTTAGAAAGAGTAGCACTAGTACCTACCTAACATTCAGGTCGGAATTTAGTCTAATGATAAAAGTACCAAACGAGGTAACAAAGTCCATCAAGATAAAGTACTAAAAATTACCAAAAGTACCTACAAATTATAAATAAGTATAAAGTTACTTATAAAAATTGCAGGTAAGTACTTTAAGTACTTAGGTATATATTAGATTTTCGATTTTCCCCTGCGACTTCGTACGCTCGGTATTGATGGATACATGCGTACGGAAGGAAAAGTGTAAGCACATCAGCGCGATACGATGCAAGTGACTTGGCTCATGTATCGATCGATACGCGAAATAGTAGCGTGGGACATCAAGAAAACAAGTTTTTAAAAAATCCCATAATTCAATCGCGCCCACACACTCACACATACAAAAAATTTCATCAAAATCCGTCCAGCCGTTTAGGATGAGTTCAGTTCAGTCACAAACGTACCTACAGGTACAAAAGAATTTTATAGGGCCATGCGTGACGATAGACTTATGGGGAAGGGTTGTAGAATTTATTACGAATAAGGTAAGGTAAAAATAAAAAAAAATGGTTCTACGAGGATTTAAGTTGGTAAGATCTAGCCCACTTATAAAAAATAATTCATCACAGGGTAACGTAAGTAAATTGCATTCCGCGATCAAAATATGAGTAAATTAAATGAAAATGGAGGGTAGTAGAATAATGGTTCAATAGCAACAAAAACTGTAAGTCTATAAGCGATTAAAGTCTACCTGCTTTACTAAAAAAATAACTTACCTACTATGGGAGTTGTACACAATGGCTGCTGAAATCGCAAACAGATTGCTTTAACTTTACGTGTTAGGCTTCAGTGAGCATTTTAGGTTGTATGAAGCTCGAGTTGAAGCCAATCCTACTAATTACACAAGGTGTGTGATTTGAATTATTTCTAAAGGTATTAATAGGTAATTATGAAAGCCGTAACCATAGAATTTAGGTACCCCGTGGCGTCACAGCATAAATAGGGTATTTAAACTGTGACGTCACTAATTGTATGTAGGTAGTAGCAAATCTGACGTCAACCTCTTCAATCTTCTGTAAAGTATGGTTGAGCTGACTTCAGTAGCCCGCTTCACGCGAATCAAAAAATGTCCCATTTGGGAGGTACCTCTTAAATTCATGAAACTGATTGGTTTTAAACCCATAGGTATACAGCGTCTCCAATTGTTACGTTCGCCAATTATCTTATCAAATCTGTATTTATTTAGGGCACCCACTAAACTGCTCTAAATAAATATTTGATAATTAAGGATCATAACCGTTGGGTTATTATGATTATGAAATTTAAAGCCCTGCGTCCTGCATTGTTCGAATTTCACAATTCAATGCTTATTTATTTATCTATTTGTGTATATATATGCTATATTTTCCATTGCATTTTCGATTGTTTTGGATTTATATGATAACTAATATGAGGTATCATAAAAGGGTCTGGAATCTGATGAGTAACCCGTAAACAATCAAAAATATTACTTTTTCGCTAGCTGGATGAACTTTGTACCCTCGTTTGGACCTATAAGTACCCTTTTGGCCTTTTCAAGAGCGAGATCACTACTGGAGTATTCACGTGGAAATTTTGATTTACTGTGACTACGTGATTGTATTTTTGCGAAAACACGCAAATACCCCTATTATGTTTACATGTTCGCTTACAAGAAAATATTGATGATTAGAGTACGATTTGCGCACCTGCTAAGTACAAATATATATGATAGGTACAAATCGAAATTCTAAACAAACCGCACTGTAATAAATTAAACAATTTATTTACAAGTATAAAAAATACAAGCTTATGAATAATAACATTTCTTAAATAGTAACTTCTAAACAAGTAGTTAAACTTACGACCGGTTTGTATGTACATCTTTAAGTAACAAAAATACAATTCAGAGGTAACAGTCTTAAATAGTTTATTAGCACTGCGTAATACCTAAATCTTCAAATTGAATACCATATTTAAAAATTGTTCATAGTGAATCGTTATCACACCATCTTGATCTGTATCATATGCACGGAATGCGTGGGTAAGAGTCTAAAAATTGAAAATAGCATCATCAGAATAAGGATTGTGATTCAGACGCTAGTGAATTTTTTCAGTATATGAACATGGATAGCAATGTGATTACTGTTTGGTTTGGATAATAAAAACGTTCCGCTGTTCAACCAAGAAAGTTGCTATTATAACTGGTTGATGATAAATATATTTGAAAAACATTTTCGGTCATTGGATTTTCTGATAGATAAGTAGGTACGTATGTACAACAAAATTCGTAACCGAGAAAAAAGGTTCAAGTCTGGATTATGCAAAGATCTAGAATTACTATCAGAAGGAGGCTTTGGGAAAAGTACCGAAAAAATCCACTGTCTGCAAGGATTCAAACTTACATATAGAACTACACAACATTGGATAAAGTCATCGAATAATATCGTTCCATTGCCATGGCGATCGAATTTCTTGACTAATGTGCCTACTAAACCATCCGATAAACGATAACCAAACGATCTGAGTGCATTTGATAATTCGTGCCTATCTATGTTTCCGGAGTTGTCTCGATCAAAGGAACGAAAACATTTCTGCCAGTCCGTCACGTACCTCCACAAAGCGCCGAAATCTTCAAAATTTATACTTCCACGATTCTGCCTATCGAACATACCTAAAAAAATTGTTCTCCGTCAGCATGACATTAAATTTGTGGATCAATCAATAGCTTTCTAGGTCGTACGACTTACCTATCATTAGACGTACAGTTTCGGGGTTGAACGGACTCCAGCTTCCATTGGATAATGCAACTTGTAATTCGTCGGCGGTTATGTATCCACTTCTATCTCTGTCAATTCTAAAAATAAAGCGAAGCGGTTTTAGAAATTACAGTATAAGGTTATGGCGCACATTTGCCTACCTTGTAAACACGTCCCAAAGAAACTGCCTGCTTGGCATCGCATCCATTGTACAAGTTTGTGTTTCAAAAGTATTAAACAAACAAGCAAGGGACAGCACAACACTGAAAATCACGTGCAAACACTTACTACACGCCTCGGTGACTAATACTATTCTGATATTCCCCCGCGTATCAACAACCTTTATAAAGCCCCTCTCTTTTTACGTCATGCGATGCGAAAGTGGAATTCGTAGTAAAATGGCACAAAATGCTGCAATTATCGAATGCAGTATTTGTAGTTCCATTGACATCCCGGCAGTAGGTATAAACTCAACTCGTGTAATAACGATTTAAATTTGTGAAATAAGAGATGGTGTCTCTAAAACCGTTACTTTACATACCCGAGGTTAGTAAATACTGGTGCTGCATGACGTCATCATTATACACGAATTGCTGTCGAGAATTTCCAGTGTAGGTTGTTAATGGAAAGTCTTCATAAATTAGCACTCACTTCATCCATTTTTTTGGGAGAATTAAATTTAGCTGTAAATTAAATCTCACATATAATCCATTTATTCATTAAAAGTACCTATTGTTGCCTTATGGCTTAACGTGGTTCGAATGTATGATTATAAAAATTGCATAAAATTAACCAGCCTGTAGCATTGTAATTGTGGGGAAAAAATTGATTTTAGAGCGTTTTTTGAGATTGATTGTACAGTTTTGGTCTTTAGATAAATTTGAAAAACCCATTAACACATTAATTTGTGCTTAATTCCTATGCACTAATATATTTGTAAGAGAGTTCACTTTTCCATGATGAATTGTAATCGTTTTGCGCATCAACCATTATACCTAACAACAACAATTAGGTATTACATCTGCGTTTCTACTACCTTCTTGACGTGAAGTCTTAGAAAAGACAAACTTTGTTGAGGAGTGCAGCAAAGAACGCCGATTACGTTCAACCATCAAAAACCGCTATGGCTGACATGGTCTAACTAAACAACCTCATGCATCAGAAACTCGCAATTAAGGTACCTTTACACTATAATATATCTCACATGATTTTTTATATGATATGTTATACTTATATGATATTTACTACCAACATATTTTTCGTGAGTTTTAATGTTTTACTTTACACTTGACAGGTTTTTCATATGACTTTAATAAGAAGTTACGAAACCATATATAACTTCTCTAAATTAAAATGTTCCAAGTTCCAAGATTGGGCTACTAGTTCAACAGTTACAGCCCTTTGAATTTTCTTTCGAAATTGGTTTCTAAGAAGTCTATAATTTGATTGAGAAGTCTGATCGAAAAAGTACGAATTGTTTTGGATTCTACGCACCAAAATTAATAAGAAAAACTGTTTTCCCGAGAAATTTTGGTGCAGTCGAACCCGGTATTTGCGGGATTCCGCAAAATTTTAAATAAATTGGCAAATAAGCAATTTTGTGCGGTTAACTTCTGTATTAAAATAAATCGCTAATTATCACAATATTTAACAAAAAAGTACCTTCAGGCTAACTTAGAACTCAAAAAAATCACCTGTAAAGCACAAATAGGTGAACTTCTAAAGTGCCTCAAAAATCATATACCTAGTACATTTTTAACGAAAAAGGTTTAACAATTATTTAAAAAATAATTTCTCCGTTATGCGTTTCATTAACAAAGCAAACAGAGTCGTCCCCTTTGTCGACATTAAGGATGAGTGTACCCTTATTTGAAAGATTACCCCAAACATTTGAAGGGTTAATTGCCAATCAAGACACTATTTGACAATGTGTGTCTGAAAACACCACTACAACCAATATACTCGTAAATATTTATTCCTCGATTTATTGTTTATGTAATTTATTCTTTCATTAGTAACTAATATACCTATAATCATTGATTATACAGGGTGATTCCTATAGTACCTGCCACCGTTTGGGAGCGTATAGGGGGTGCCTAGGGGAAGTCTTTTCATATAGGACACTTGGGGTCGGAAATCCAAAATAAGGGCGCCAGAACCAAATTTATCTTCTGGAATTTCACGCCTGTATGTAGGCAACCCAACCGACCGACGTTTCGCGCGGAGCGATGCAGAGCGAGTTAGCGCGAGGAAGCGACATGGGAGGGAAGGAGGGAAAACGACAGTCAAAAGCAATAACGTTTACAAGTGTTCAACGTGGCCACCGTTGTTCTCAATGCACTTCCTACATCTAGCCAACCACTCCCCTCGAACTCGCGTGAAGACTCCTATGTCCTGGCGAACAGCCTCTCCGGCCATGACGACGCGCGCAATTAAGTCCTCTTCGGATTCGACGGGAGTCTCGTAGACGTGCGCTTCCATCACACCCCACAAGTAAAAATCTAATGGGGTGATGTCGGGCGAGCGGGCAGGCCACTCCACCGCACCTCCACGGCCGATCCATCTGTCCGGATAGGTTTGGTCCAAGTGTTCCCTCACCTGCCGCCCGTAGTGAGCAGGGCACCCATCGTGCTGGAACCAGTGGTCCCAGTACAAGTTCACTGGAACATCCATTAAAAGTTCTGGTAGCACCTCGCGCAGGAAAATCAGGTAATTATGGGCATTTAGACGCGGAGGGAGGATGTAAGGCCCCAGTAGGTTGTCCCCCAGGATGCCAGCCCAAACGTTTAAAGAAAACTTGTCCTGGTATCCTCGCGTAAACGTTTCATGAGGATTGTGCTCCGCCCAGTAGTGGCTGTTACGAGGATTGAAGGTCCCCTCTCTTGAGAATCCTTTCTCGTCAGTAACTAGCACGCTCCTCAGAAAGTTCGGATTAGCTTCTTCCTCCTGGACGACTAAGTTGCAGAATTCCAGCCTCCTTTCATGGTCACCCGGCCGTAACTCTTGCACTTTCTTAAACTTATAGGGGTGTAAGTTGTTGTTGTTGGCGATGTTCCACACTGTGTGTTGACTACAACCCACCTGATCTGCTACAAGTCGAGTGCTAGTACGCGGGTTTGCCTCGAAACGTTCCAACACATCCTCCTCTAAGGCATTTACCAACGGGCGATCGCGATCACGGGCGCTAGTGGGCTGCGAAATAGGAGGAGGTCGGTGTAAACAAACAAACTTTTCGAAATGGGTGCTTAAATGACCCAAGTATCGATGTGCATCACGAATCTGTGTGTAAAGTTAAGCCTCCGTCAGCTTACCTGCAATTGCCCTGTCTCGCACAGTCGGAAGTGAACTTCTTGAAAGACCTGTCTGCAGGGTAACTGACGGTTTGGATACCGCTCAGCGTACGCTCGTCGTCCAGCTCGTGCGTTACCATTTGCCAATCCGTACATGAAGTGCATGTCCGCGTATTCCGTGTTAGTAAAACGTGCCATAGTGTTTATTCACTTGATACGCGTCGTTGCAGACGGGATTTCGTGGGTTTAAACAAAATTCTGATCAAGTGTCAGCCACACATCGCCGCCTGAGATCGCTCCGTGTGCACCGCCGGCCGGTTGGGTTGCCTACCTACAGGCGCGAAATTCCAGAAGGTAAATTTGGCTCTGGCACCCTTATTTTAGATTTCCGACCCCAAGTGTCCTATATCAAAATACTCCCCTACGCACCACCTACACGCTCCCAAACGGTGGCAGGTACTATAGGAATCACCCTGTATAGGTGTGTATAATCAATGATATAATCAAAAGTTTAGTGGTTTACTCAAGTATTCAGCTTTTTCAGATAAGTACAACAGCAAAATGCGAAAAGTAACCATAAAAGGGCGGGATCACTTGGATATTTAAAATAAGTCATGTCATTTGTTATGCAAAAATAGAAACATCCCTATTCCACGATTTACGTATTATTTCCATATTAATTCCTTATAATTTGTCTTATGACAGCCACAATACCAAAACTAGTATAGTGTAAACACAAATCTAAATGCTTGTTAGGTACTTATCATATGACAAATCACATGAGAAGTATGATAGTGTAAAGGTACTAAACGACATTGCATTTTATGGGGCCGAAGTCTACGTCTTCACCCACGATGGCCAAGAATACATCATACACCATCGATTTTCTGCCCTTGTGCATACCTTTTGCTGTGAAGAGGGACGTTGGAAGAGAGCAAGTATAGTTCTACTGTGATTTGTGAACTTTTTGTTCTTGATTTTCAACTTCAAGTCTTAAAAATTTCAAACGGGCCTTCAACCTGGTAATAATCAGCTCGTTTAGGTTAGGTCAAGGGGTCGGAGAGGTTGGTCATAGGCGAGGTCATAGGTTTTCCAAGATGAGAGATTAAGATAATTAGCATTTAAATTATGGTAATAAATACGCATCTATCCGCACTTTTTTTATATTTTATTTACACAATATGGGGTACCGTTTAACCATGTACCTACATCACTTGCAACATATTGTGTAGTCCTCTTCCTTTTCAATGCATTTTGTCCAGCGTGTTTGTGGTTGGTCGCTCCACCATTTGTTAGATATCCCTGACGATCGATGTTTAGTTTTTTTTACGGTTCATCAGATTGTTCCGTATACAAATCTTTAAAAGAATCCTTCTTATTATTTAATTTTACCCAAGATGATCTTCATTTTTTTTCGGACTAGGTTCCTAAAAATAAACCCTTGAGATCCTCCAAGATTCGTGAGTTTCTTAGATTCATTAATCATTACACTTCTAATCATTAAAATTTGTTTCCTTAGTTTTTTCAAATACTACAGATAGGTACATCAGTTTTCGTTTTTTCAAATTTTTCCAACTTACAGTTTTACGCAAACTCTTCAGATTGATTTAGTTTCTTCAGATCCATCGCGATGTCAAGATTTCATAAAATACGTTCGTTAACTACCATTAAATTATGTTAAATGATGAATACCACATAATAAAGTAGATACTTATTTATTGCTAATTTATTGTGATTATTACTGTATACGGCGATTTGGAACAATTCACTTTTTCGAATCTAGGTATGTAGAAAACTATCGTATGTGCTATTTTTTGTGTATAATTGCTTCCGCATGGTTACTGAGCTATGGTTATTTAGAGATATAGCAATAAAAAAAGCTTACAACCTAGTTACACTTACAAATTTTTCAACGTCTATTATGCTTAAGATGTTCAAAATATCTTCCTTAAACTTACCAACACTTTCGCATTTTACAACTAGGTAAATGAGTTTTCTTCGGAATTTTCGTATCCGTTCTAACATTTCCCGCAGAACGTATTCGGTGATAGGTACATGTCATCTACAGTTGTATAGGTGCGATGGACGTAGGTACTTACTTTATCTTTTATAAAGCCCCACAAAAAGTAATTCATGAGGGGTAAATTCGGGAACCGAGCAGGCCAGTGCTCGATAAATCCACCTGTCAAACATTTCATGTAAATAATATACGGGAATGCATTGCACAATGGGGTGGAGTCCCAAATGATTTAAAAAATGTGCGTATATTTCTCCATTGAATTGTTTTTAAAAAATGCGGATCAATAACTCCATTCCCAATAATGACACACTGTAGTGTGGATTTCCTTGCGTCCAGTAGTAGTACTGCATATTGGTTGTTTACCCTTGGAAAAATAACCAAACAAAAATAACAATTTAAATTTTGCTAAACACCTGCCAGTATTTATGGGAAGTGGATTCGTTAAAAAAATTCACAGATTTCGTAATCCTTGCAACCATCGGAGACATTGGAAATGATAACCGTATAACGTCATACCTATGTAATACACAAATAACCCTTATTCACCGTGAAGTTTTCACAATTCGTAAAGTAAATACCTACCGGAGTAGTAAAATAAATAAATAAATAAATAAATTACTTTTTAAAGATGGTCTGGGTGCTATACAAGAACATCAAGCAAGAATCTCGGCAAGAATAATGATGTTATACCGAAAGCTTTTCGTCGTGGAAATGTCCCTTTAGCGTTACAGGGGGCATTGAAAGGATGTATTCTAAAATCGTCCTGACTAAAATATATGTACCTCTGAAAAATCAAGCCAAGTCACGAATTTGGAGTTTCAAATTCGTCATTTTTAATGTCAAAAATCGATTCATATATTATGTGGATTTGTGAGGAGGGGAGGGGGGAATTTATTTGAATTTACACTTTTAATTTCATTTCAATAGTAGTGCATACAAATCTAACGCTACACTTTTATTTCCAGGTGGCCCCAGTGCCGAAAAAGGCTACTTTGGACCGTGGAGAACTTGCAAACAGCTGCTTTACCATCGTGAAAGGTGCGGCAAAGATGCTTCAAGATTTAGGGTTTCTGGTAAGTAGGTACGAATATTTATTAATAAATATTGACTTTTTGACTATTGCGTAATAACAATTTGCGACTAACCGCGTAACATCGGATGTTACGGGTAATTTGCGGTGTAGGTACTATATAATTTGATCATCCTGTAGCTGTAAATAAGTGGCATATTAAAACACACACTTCCAACACTATATACCTACATGATTAATTGAACATTAAACGGTTATCAAAAACAGTCGAAATGAAACTCTATATTTAGAACAATTAGGTACTTTACTTTAGCAGCTAGTAATTATGGACTAACATTGATATAACCGTCAATCAATAAAGCAATTTTTGTTTCAGTCGTAGTATGGATAGCTGGGCTGGTAGCGGCGGCCGGTGTGGCAATCCTAGGAGTTTTTTGTGTACTAAGTGTCCTCCAGTTAGCTATGCTAAGCTCGAAAGAAAAAGTTGTGATGAGGTATAGCATTGTTTTAACTACCAAACTTGCCTTGGGACTTTTGGCCGGTGAGTACGTGTGTATAGGCCACCCAGACTATTGTAAGATTTTACCTTACAGGTTTGTTGGCCATTGCAGCAGCAGGTCTGTTCGCGCTACAAACTGACGATAAGGCGAACAGTGGTTTCCAGATAACCCGAGGACCCGCCTTCTACATTCAGGTTTTGTTAATAATTCTCAACGCTGTTTTGTTTGTAATGTCGCTGTACGATCTAATATTTTCTCGGCGAGATGGGGGAGATCCCACAAAGTCTGTGTCAATTCCCGTGGAAGCAACGACATATGGCAATCCTGGTTATCGCGATCGGGGCCCAACGAACGGTAATTCCCTTTTTATTCCACTTCTGATGCTAATTACAAGTTGCCTACAGGAGCGGGTGTATCTATGACCGATGCCAGTGGGAAACCATACCTTACCAATGGCAGCACAATGTCAATGAATACAACCATGACAAGTGCGTCATCCGTTGGTTCCAACGGGTCAACTGTCGGATCTTCAGTGACGCGATCACCTTTACGATCAAGCCTAAAAAAGCCGAAGCCGAAGGACGGTTTTGGGATTCAAAACCCCGGATTCTCAGGTTCCTCGCCTACGTTTTCGAGAAATGGAAGTGTAAAAAAAGTGAGAATACAAACTCATAGCACCGAAGTTTGATGACAGTCCTTGTTACAAATCTGATAATTCTTAATTTATTTGATAATTTGAGAACTTTTTAGTGATATTATTACGTTATATCCGTCCATTTTCGTGCACGATTGATGCACATAAATTTTTTTGATGTTTTTTGTGTTTAACACATTTTATATATTTTATGAAAGATTTTACTGGTACTCGTGTTAATTTTTGTTGTTATATTGTACCACACTATGGCCCTTGTAGCAACTACTTAATACCTACTATCATCATGCTAGATCAACTCTGTGGGGGTTTTAGTAACTGTGATGAATCTGGGACCAACAGAAGACGAAAAGGAATGGTTAAGTTGTTGCTGCAAACTGAATCATTGAATAAGAAATGAGACCAGTAAAATAAATTGCTTTACATCCAGGCTGTTACAAATTGTGTTTTTGTACCATGATTTGACGTATCTCTATTATATTATTTATTTGAAAATTGGCACTGTTTAAGAAATATTTTTATGCTTATATAGAATTCGCTTTGTTGGGCAGGTCAAAATTCTATGTGTAAATATGTTAATTGTTATAAGAACCTATCAGAGGTGTTTACAGAATTGTGGTTTGCAGACCTTTGTTTTTAAAATAGTTTTCAAAAACTGCCTAATTAATCTGAGGTAATGTGATAAAAGTGGTTGTTTACCAGATCAGTGCATCTTAGACGAATTGTAAAATTCAAATATTTATAGATTCTAGTTACAACGGTACCTATATCAAAAGCACAAGTGCTAATAAATAATTTTACTCGTGTAAATTATCAAACCTCACTTTACAAGAACGATAAACAAATTTTTATGATAATATTTTTGAAATAAATATTTTCGAAAGATATTACTATCGACCTTTTTCTCACAGAACTTGAACTATATAAACATTACAATTTGGTTCTACATTTACGGTAATTAATGACGATATCAGGAGTTATAAACGGTACCTAATATAGGGAATAATGGAAATTATTTTAAGGTGATATAAGCAGTACAGTTACAAATATAGCAAACACTCTGTGATAGCAAACGAGCTCTTGGGTATGGATATAGTTTGGCACTGCGTAAGTATATACCTAGCTAAATCTGTGCTCATATGAATTTCATAAAGAATCCACTTCAAAATGTTATCCTAATCGGTTCCTATCGTGCTAACGCAGACACCGCAAATTATGAACTCGCTAGGAGCTCGTAAATAATTCCGAGGGGCTCACAAGGAAACATATGGTGCAATTATCCTAGAAGCCAATCACATGCGTTTAATTCGCTCGCGAAAATTCATAATAGCATTGGGTCCCAAGAAAACTCGCCCCCAGCTATAAGTTCGCCGGCCCAATATTAGCTTCAGAAGATTCGCCCTCGATAGATTTCAATCTTCACCCTTACAGCTCGCTTGCTTTGCCGGATTGTTGAGGTCAACAGTCATGGGACATAGGTTGCCCGAAAAATGATATAAATAAATCACTGTTCACTTCTTTATGTTAACTAAAGGTATGTATGGTTGTCAAGTGCGAGCCTTAACACACTGGCAAAATTGCAACCGTTGAACTTATTTCGTGCAATGCAATTAATTACCTACCATAATTTTGTGTGTGAAATTGTTAGTTAATACAACGTTTAAAGAATGTATAGGTAAAATTAAATGGTATGTTTGTAAATTCTAAATATTAGGCCGAAATTGTAGCGGATCGCGTAGATATATTCTCCGGAAGCATAAATTTCGAGTTTTTCATCAATATTGAGATAAAGGTAAACCCCGGCGATCTATGCCGGGCCGGTGATTATTATTTTTGATTGCCGGGACTGATTTGCCACTACAATGGGTAATGTTTCCCCCAAAGAAATTGCTTCGCCCCATAAAACATTAGAATGTACTCTTACAAATGAGGAAACAGTCAAGGGAGAGTGTAGCTACTAAAGATTTCATACCTTGTTTGACTTGAAGATTTGACGGGGAATTTTTATAGCGTGAAGCGACATTTTTTGTGGGATTTTACGTATTTTTAGTGTTGTAAATTCTATAGACGTCATCATTGGATTTTTGGCCACCTTTTATTTTAATGTTGAGGCCCATCTCCTCAAAATATTATTAATAATCCAAGAAATATTATAATGTTTTTCCTTAAGTCCCTCAGAGTTGAGTCATTGAATAAATTATTCAATCCCCTAAAGCACCGACCCATGTAGGTGAGAACATAAGGTTTTCAAAAGCAGGATTATGACTGTAGTCAATAAATAACCTTAAATGAAGGGAATAAACAAATGCACCCACACCTTTGTTGCCCATTGAGACCATTCATGTCTATGTGACAACACTCTACACACCTACCAGGTGATCTAAAATCACTGCGTACAGTTTGAATTTCGCGCAAAACTAAACATTTATAATAGTCCAGTCACCATGGACACATCGGAAACCATAAGAGGTACACAGTCTGTTAAATTAGAAAGAGTCGCCCATTTTAGGGCTTAATAAAACGATGCTTTAAAATGCGGAAATTCCGATCAGTTCCGAAGATATTTAACAAAAACCGAAACTAACTTTTTTAAGCTCACCATTTTACAAAATTTTCGCTGCGACGTTTCGTCATCAACTTCATATTTTTATATGGACCGGAAAAGAGTACATAATGTATTGAGTAGCATTTTTTATTATACAATATTATGTATGGTACAATATGTCATTTAGAAGAACAAACTATTTTGACTTTTTGTCAACGCCTACTAAACCAAAAATGTTAAAAATTTAGTAACAAGCCATATTTCTGAGCTAAATAATAAATAATTTTTAACATTTTACTATAGTAGGCGTTGACAAAATATCAAAATAATTCATTGATGGTTCCTTTAAATGATATAGGTGATAAATAATCTTATTGTGCCATACATCGTTGTTGGTGGTTTTTCAAAGGCGCCAATTTGTACAGCTTAAAAAGTTCCCATGAGGAAGTGTTGTTTGTTTTTTGATATCTTTTCAAACAGGGCCGGCGGAAAATAAAACCGAATATGATTAACTTCGTTTTTTTTCGGAACTGATCGGAATTTACAAATTTTTAAAATATCAATTGATTTGCTTTCCTTCTTATATTGGACACACTGTATAATCAACATAAAGCTTAAACCTTCTTGTGTTGAAGGTGCAAGGCATTTTTATAGAATGGTGGAATTTTCTAGGTTTTTTCCAAAAAACGTATTGAAAATTATCGACCCAGTTATTGAGCGAAACGCTTTTTTTTGTCACCCAGAAAATATACTACTTGCACTACTTACGGATGAAGACCTAACGTACAAAGAACTTGGAATTAGGAGGGTTCTCAAAGCAAGAAACAACTACAAACCAGGAATCCGTCTGTTCACAGTACCTTCAATAAACTTTAAAGCAACACACTGTTCACAATTGATTTTCTGGGACAAGGTGAAATTATCAGAGCCACCTTTAACCAAAAATATGGAACTAGATTTAGGAAAGACAGTCAAGTTTGATTTTCCTCCTTTTCCTTGCCACACCCACGCGGTGGAACTGTGGTCCTGAAAATCGAGAAGGCTTCATCCAGGCTCGTATAAAATCAAGAAATATTCTACAGACATTTGAAACAAAAGCAGACTATTTCTTAAAGAAATAATTTCTGTGCTTTCACAATTACATTTGTATTACACTTTTGATTTCGCTTCTTGACTTAAATATCTAAGGACCTGTTGACTTATTTTTTTTTAAATTATTTTTATGGTACCTAGTTCTAAATGCCAAACTATGTTTATTTGGAAAAAAAAATATTAAAACCATATATACCGGGATATGTTATAATTTTTAAGGCCATTTAGGAACCTCAGGATATTTTTGGATGTGATTCAGATTTTTTACGCGCTTTTCAGAGATAACAAGGAACATTTTAAGTCCTATGACAGGCAGATTAGAAAAAAAGTGAAAAGTATTTTTTTGCTTTTCTCAAGGCCATTTAGGAACCTCAGGATATTTTTGGAAGTGACTCGGATTTTTTATGCGCTCTTCAAACGTAAAATTAATGAATTCCACCCTACTGTGTATATTACATTACCATAAGGAGGCAAAAGGGGGCCACCGCCTAGATACGATACTGAGTGTCCAACGTGGGAACCGCCGATTAGGCGGAATTTGTATACCTGCCTAGGAAACTAAATGGGTGGATATAGGACTAGTTTTATTGGTGGAAAAAGTTGTGCGTCCCAGAACAACCGAAGTATTTTATTTTGGCCTAAAATTAACATTTAATTTGCTATTATGGAAAGGGTTGTAAATGAATGCGGGGTTTTTTAATGTAGGTAAATATTTTGAAATTTAGATTTTATATTTATTTTCAATCAAGTGGTCTAGATGGCAGAGGCGCTATGATCCTTACTTGACCAATCATAGAGAAAAAGCTCCATTCTCCTAGAAAAAACTTGTTAAACATATCCATTATTTTTAACTAGCCGACGGCATTACATTACCTTAATTCAAAATGCCGAGTGCGAGTAGCCATTTTCATTCCTGATTTTGTAAGTAGATTAAACAAAATACATTGGTGTGTCTTTTATAATGTTATCCTTGACGGCTAATAACCCTTTGGAGCGTGCCAAGTTGTTCATATCAATGCTCTTATTTTCACAGTAAATTTTAGCACGTGCCGCTGCCAAATGGGCATAATAGGTTGGTGCTGGATAACTAACGGATCGCGTACAACGTGCGAATAGATGACATAAATGATACGTTAGCTCCTCCAGCTCGTCCTCTTGCATGTCATTGTCGTCCCATAGCTTTCGATATTTCGTGGGTCTTGCGACGCCCTGAATGCTTGCGTGCGAAACTAAATAAAAATCTAAGGCCGTCGGATGGGTAATTTCTGTATCGACGACTGTACCGGCAGGCACATTGCAATTTTTATCTTCGCTGTCCCCTGGGCTCGGAAAAAATCGCGTGTGGTGTCGCTTTTGAACTACCAAAAACGTAAGCTGGGGCTTATAGTTTCCGGAAGGATCCACCATCGCGCATCCTTGACGAACGGCCTGGACTTCGGAATTAACAACAATTTCAAATTGGCCTTCCGACACACCGTCACGGAAAAATATAATTCGCTTCGGTTTTATCTTGTTGGCCTTTTCGTAGAAGGTCACGTGTTCTTTTACGATATTCGCTAAATCGCTAATTATTTCTTGCGTCGATTGCTGTAATCGACAGGTGATGTTATATTTAAACGCATAAGAATCGTGAGACGCTGTGACAGCAGCTACGCTTGGTTCACTTCCCCTGCTGTCGGGACCAGGATGTGTCACATCCGCTCCCATGATCATGCAAGGTTCCATCAAACACCGAGGAGGTTCGAGAAGTGTGTGATTCAATCCATTTAATTTCGCGTTGACTTTCAGAAGAAGGTTTCGTACAGTTGACGATTGTGGGCTACAAAACATATGGTGTTGATTAGTTTTGAGAAACATTCCTTACCTGAAAACATTTTTCCTTTTCACGCATTGGGTCATAACGCCAACACTGATTTCTGCAGCTTGTTTAACATAACTGTAGATCTGTTTTTGGTCGGGTATTATAACTAGTATCAGTTGCTGATCGCTTAGCTCATTGAACTTAGCCTCTATCGTCTCTTTCTCTTTCGGACGTTGTATGCGTACCATCGCAATTTTTGGAGGCACAACCGTCATCCCTAAGAATCTTCCTTGATTTACCATCTGAAAAAATGAAATTGTAAGATGTGCAGTTTTCAATCAAAACAATTCTATAGCTTTCAAATAAAAAGAGTAGCGCTTTACAAATAAGAAGTATAGTGCAAGGTCACAATCATCAGCAGATGATGAAATGGTTGAGTAGCTCGGGCTGAAGACCCTGCAATGACATCAAGGAAACGGTACAAGATTCTATCGCTTTTCTAGAACTGTATAGTGACTTTCACTATCACAGCTTAGAAAAAGAATGAGAACGAAGAAATCTCTGGAACCCAGAGTTTTTTTTAATAGAATCCTGTCAAAAATGTCACTTCCCTCATCAATCTTTAGTTGAAAGTTACTAGCAGTTTATTATGATTTTAGATTCCAAATTGTAAGTAACTGTACCTATATCAAAAATTAGCAATTTACGTTTTAAATACTTTTTTGCAGAGCATTTTGTACTTTAGGTACTTACCTCTGCATCTAATCATTTTAAGTTTTTTTGATTTTTATTCTATATATAGTAATTTCATTAATTTTTTAAGCGTCATTAAAGGGACACTCTGCCTGCACAAAACATAACGTACAAATTTAAGTCATCTGGCACAATTCGAGTTGGTGAAATTTCAGGAAAGTTGTATAGCTAAGCAGTTAATAATGGATTGGAAAAAGTGTAAAACATACCATTTCGCTGAACTTCTCAGGTGCTGGCAGTTTTGTACGCTCTTCTTCATGGTATGCAATTGTGAGCACAGTCCAATTTTGTAGTTGATTAGATGTACAGAACTTGCCAGCTCCCCATTTGCCTTCTTGTACTTTTACGGAACTATTTTTATACCGAATAGAAGGCGGTTCTAAAATTCTTGCCGGAACTTCTGTGAAGTCTGCATTTACGGATATTGAAAATTCTGTAGCACAGGGGTCACTGTTGTAATTCGCTTGCCTCACCGCATCCATAATTTTTTGTTTTCTGATTATTGTAGACGTTGCAGCACTTTTTATCATTTTTGATGTTTGATTCGAAGTCATTTTCCGATTGGTAACCTACATATCTCATTATTATATAACCGTTTAAAGAAACACATACTTACTTGATTAGCTTCAATTGTACAAAATTCCATCGGTAACAGTATTTTTGGCTGCCGTTGTCTACTGCCAACCCACAAGCAAGGCAAGTGCGGATAAGTCAAACGGGCCTGTTTTACATTAGCAAAATAATCTGCTACAGTCATTTCTATGTTCTCTTCATTTCTAAACCATGCTTCGCTGGCCGGTCTGTCCAACTCATTGACTCTCACTATGCGCTTCGAGTTTGGTTGATTTGGAATCATATAGACAATCTTTAGCATTTTCATAAAGTTATTCACTACCTTATAATTCTGGCGAGTCAATGAATTTTCCCGTTTGTAGTAACTACCACACACTTGTTCAACTAAATCCACGACATTCATAGTTTTTGGAAACGCTTTGTGCGAAACATCTACATTCAAAAATGATTTCCAGCCGAGCACAGCCGATTGATAGACGCCATTGTATATTTCCATACCTTCCCCGAGATCAATTAGTCTATTTGGTTTTGTGAAAAATGATCGCCCAACTGGTATACAATTCAAAGCCGGAGCACTTCTCAATATAATGTCCAAGCATTGAATCGCTTCTTGGGGCGTCACCATGTGAATATTTGCAGGAGCAGTGGACTGCAATAAATACATTTTCGGTAAATAATGCTACATAACCGCATGAATTGCAGATGTATATTTATAGAATGGCACAATCAGTTTTATGTCCTTTCGTATAAATTACCTACTACAATTTTGGTAACAAATACCAAAATGTTTGTACTTTGTACACATAATGACAATAAACGCGTAAAGAATGCGAAAAACCACTAAGATAAAACTAAACAGACATTGTTGCATAAACAAAAGAGTTAAGGGCCAATTGTATACCTATACCGAGTTCAGTGGCGGTTCAGTTGAACTGGCTTTGGATACATTGTTATTTTGTTAGAAACGATTGTTGTTACCCTCACAACCAGCGGAACGGCCCTTCTAGTGAACCAAATTATTTTTTCTATTTTGGTGTCACAATGATGATTTTGTACAACTGTACAACTAACAGTTGTAAGAAGACAGTGATTATAGTTGTTTTTTTTTTGGTAACTCATCTCTTAAGTTGGCAGTTACTAGTTAGTACAAGTATGTAGGTACTTCGTTGGGTACTTCCATGTTTGAACTTCAAAATGTCAGTTTTACTACGCTGCCAACCTAAAACTTAACGGCATCAAAAGTGTTCCCAACATAAAACATGTTAGTTCTAATGTTCCCTATAGTTTCTGATAATGATTTTTTTAATTAAATTAAAGCACCGAAATAGAAAAAATAGTATGAAAAACGCGTGTTACAATGCCTTATTGTAATACTTCTATCTTGCGGACACGCGTCGCCACTTGTGCCACAAGATAGTCGTATTACAATATAGGTCGCATTGTAACACTTGTCTTTCAATATACTATTTGACAAGCGAATGTTGTCAAACACACCTATTTATTTTTTATACCGACAACATATTGTGCATGTGGTATAAAACACATCATTCTATATCTCTGAATTGTACATTAAATATGCAAATCCGAGTGCAAACCTATTCTGGAATACTACTGCCAACTTCACACGTGTTTAAAAAATCGTTTAAACTAAACGCAACACACAAAATGGAGAAAGCGAGGAGAAAAGGAAGCTTCAAAGGAAACTCGACATAAATAAAATAAAATATAAAAAGGTTTACCTCAAAATAATCGACTAAACGTTGCAGATCCACTTCTGCTGCAAACTTCACTTTAACTTTATACGTTTTCGATTTCTCATTAACATTAATTGTTACGTCTCCCATTATTTCATGTCCGAAAGGTAAAAGAGACGAGCTGTACAAATTCCTAACCCCATCGAACGCCGGATAACGCTTTGGATAGTTGTCCATGCGAAATTGCTCCATAACTGCCCTCATCGACTTCTTGGGTTTGTCCGGCTCAATTGCAACATCGTAGTGAATTGCAGGCTTGAAATCTTTCAAAATTAGAGCCAAGTGATTGGTTTCTATGGTAATCGCTCGTCCTTTCGTACCTCCAGATTTCAACTGTTTTCTCAGCGGTACGACAAAATCTGTAAGTGAAACCTCTTGATGCGCTTTTGTCTGCTCAGGTTTTTGCTGCTTCCCAGCATAGCCCGCTTGTGGTTGTCGTCTTGAACCATCACTTCGACCGGACTGTGACGGTTTTTTATCTCTACTTCCGCCTCCTTGTGTCCCAGCTGCGGCTGCAGGTTGTGGTTGCCTTTCTGAAACGGAAGCAATACCTCGACCGGAATGTGACGATGGCTGGGGTCTCTGTTTGCCTGCTGGTGGTTGCTGTTGAGATAAAGAGCCAGTTTGCTGCTGCGCCTGGTTATCTTTCTTTTCCCTCTGGCCTGCTTTGGAAACTAAGGAAAATTATAAGTATAAATACAGCTTTCCAAATCAGTGCTTTTGTTTGTACACACAATACAAGTAAATCGTGTAAGTGAAATCTGTCTAGGGCTATTAAAAAAACACGAAAAATTTTCTCAATTTTGACGTTCAATTTTGGACATAAAAATTGTTATTTCCTGCAAAAATATGTCGTTGAAGTTCATTGAGGTCTATTTGGCAACACCGCACCACGCAATTATACCTACCTACTGTAACCAGAAAGAAAACTGCAACTGTAAACGTCTAGTTTCTAAGGTGTGCCTGGCCAATACTTACATTTCTTATTATTCCCCATTGTCTTATGTCTTATGTCTTTCTTGCTTTTCGCAGTGTACTCGTCACAAGGTTACAAAAAATAGGTAGGTACAAAATAATCAAAAATTGAAACGCAAAATTACACAATAACCAATGTTAAACAAAATGGTGCAATACGGTTGTAATTCACAAAAACAAATAAAGTGACTGATATCGCATATCCTGTGAATCACGCATTTATACTTGGGTATGACTCATTTTAATCAAGTGGTTTAATCATATAGGCACAGACCGCACAGATTACCTAATCTGTGATCAGTGGCGGATTTAAATTTTTTGCGCCCCTAGGTACACCGAAAGATATGCGCCCCTCCAAAAATAATCTTTAAATTGCAATAAATTGTAAGATGCTAATAAAAATCACATTATTGTTTTGTCTTGCTAGTGGCTGTTAGGTCGTCCGTTCACACCTGTGATCCTAATGCTAAAGGGTGCATATACACTACAATTATAACTTGAAATTTTGAAGACTAATATGAAAAGGAATACAGTATACCTACCTAAGATTAAATTTTCACACACGTCAAAACTTGCATTGTTTATTATCGTTCTTACAGTTACAGTTTGTTTAAACTATCTCCCAATTCCAATTTATTTCATAGTTTTAATTAAAAATTTTTGTCATTCGTAACTTGTTATAGGGGACTTATTTTAAAACTTAAAATGTTACCTACCGAGCAGCGCTTCACTTCTTATGAAAATGTGGAAACATGACTCGATCACTGGTTCAAGGCAAAAAATGAAGAATGTTTTGGCGAGAAATTCAAAACATAATTTTTATCTGTAATCATGTGGAATTCAATATCTCAAAAACGTCTGAACCGATTTTGATGAAATTCGCAAACTTCCTATTTTGGTTTCGGCCCGTTACCATCTTCAGGGGCTATTTAAAAGGTCACTAGCGGCTGGAAAAGTTTTTAAGCATACACTGGCTAATGTGGCATAAAAAGCTATCCCAAATGTACAATTAAGTACAGTTTTTTGTGGGCTCCTTAGTGTTTCAGAAAGTTTGGATTGAAAAGTTATGTATTTTATTTTAAGGTACGCGCTATAGCGAAAAGTGTTAAACACAAAAAAGATATCTTGATAAGTTGTACAAACAATTCTTATACACTCTAGCCTCGGGTTTAAAATAAAGACGCCAGAGGGCTCTAACTAAATGTTCTACTATGACTGTACTATAAGTAAGTACCTAGTCGGAAAGTCGAGTCAGGAGTTTACTCTTTGTCAGAAAGTCCCTCCGTTTCTCTGTTACTAATTTCAAATGTTATATAGGTAACCTTTCATTTTATCGTTGCAAATGATCCGCCTTAACATTGGTACGCTGACATGAATACTCCCTGATATCTGTGAATAAAGTGAATAGCTCCTTTGGTATTTCGATATAGTCGCGCAGAGAGGCAATTAATTTAGGTTAAGGTCATTAGGTAATCAATTAAGCCCGATTCACATTATCGGTCACATCATGATCAGCTCAAGATCCAGTCACGGTGTGGCCAATTATTGCAGCACAATATAAGTAATTGACGGCGCCGTGACCAGACCGTGACTTGACCGATAATGTGAATTGGGCTTTAATCCGCGGGCAATTGACCGGCGAATATTTTTTGTCAAGGAAATGACTTCCTAAAGCAACCATTTCTTTCAATCGTGTACTTATCCCATTATGAGAAAATGGACAAACTTCGAATGAACTGTAAAGCTTGGGAGGGTTTCATAGGATCATACCATCTCCTAATGTAATAATTTTATGGTGAAATTTCCTCAATAAGCGGACGTGTCAAAATTTTACAAACGCCAGTAGTATGAATTATTTATAGATTATTTTAAAATTTAATTTTTCTCTACATTTGCACACCAACCTTTCGAAAGTGATAGGTACAAATGTGCAAATAATAAAAATTATGTTTCCCAGGTACGAAGAACGGCACAAGAGATCAAGATGGTTACACTTTATTGTCACGAGAGGTACAAGACTTTCACTGAAGACTTTTTCTTGCCGATGCGCTTGTGCTGTGCGAATGTAATGTATCCCTAAACACCATTTGTCCCCATGTGCGAATATTGGGATTGTACTTGTCTTGATCCTTATCAAACGGATTCCATGCGGAAATGTCAGTACCTAAGAAATAAAGTAACAATTACTTTTTAGCATTTACTGACATGTACATTGACACTAAAAAACTAGGTAGCTAGGCACTACTTCTTTTTCGGATAATGAAGTTTCTCGCGAATAATCACCCCGCCTACTTTCGATACCCCATCTTGGTATTCCGTTAGCCCAGGTGTAATCCCGGTTAAGCCGCCCCCTGTGGAAACTTCATACAACAATGTGGAAACGCGCCTAAACTTACCGCAAGGTTTTCCTTCGCCGCCCCCTTCGGCGCCGCCTTTGATCTTGGATATTGTCGCGGGTCTGAAAGCGATCGGTTTCTGGCTGGGTCGACATGGATCTCCGGGTAGCTTGATCGGTTCTGGACAGGGCGCCAAACCTTCCATTCCAGCGGAGCGTAACAACTGGTCGTACGGCGCCGATGGATACTCCTCTGAAACATCGTGGAATTACAGTAGCCGAAACCGAAAAATTTCGACTTACGCATTTTACAGAAATCAACTTGGTAGGTTGTTCTTAATCTATCCTTATTTATTCTCGATATGAGGTCGTCCGGAGGCGCTGTCCGCAGCACTTCGTATATGTAAGGATACTTTTCTTGCAGTTTCTTTAAAAATACATTTGGCTGATTGAATCTTTGCGTGTCGACCTCCGGACTCCTCCCTACTCTCGCAGGATACAATTTTGGATCCAGTAAAGGTCCCATAGGGCCCTGTCGACTCCATGACTGCTCATTTAGTGCATTCGGACCAGATGGGTTCCGGTCAGCGGGCGAAGCAAGGCAGTGGCATGGGCACAAAGGTTGGTTTGGATCACGAACTTGTGGTTCATAAAGACGATCAGGTGCAGGTCTACGTTTTTGTTAGGTAAAATAACAATGACACTGTTGCTTACTTGTTTCCTAATATCCGAACGTATGGCCACAAATAGTCTTTGCGGTAAGTCGTGACAAATTGACCCATTACCATCTTGAAGAGTTTGAGTACAGAAATTTGGATTTACTTTTTGGGAAATGGAATTTTACATTTCTGATTTCAAAAACGTTTCAAATTGTCAAAGTCTTTGACTTTGTACGGTGTTGCTAGGATATTGTTCATATATCGTGTAGTAGCCCTTTTCGAACATCAAGGATAAGATCAAAACTGTAACGGCAACATCCAACGAATTATCAGCATTTGAATTAGCCCATAACATCGCAAAGCTTTACCTATGTTAAAGAACCAAGCCCAAAATAAAGCTTTTGGGATGGCTTAAAGATTCTATAAATAAATGGAAAAATAGAATGTTTGAGTTCTTTCAATTTTAATTTCAGATTGACCCCCCCCCCCCCCCCAAATTTTAGAGACATAGCAGAAGCATAATAAAATTGTAGTGGAACCCAATAGAGGGTTTTGGGATTTACTCCAGCGCGTCAGGTTAAAGTAAGGTGGGTTGACTCGTAGCCTACCGATAGAACTAGCCGTGACACTAATCCCCACTATTGCGTTGACGTCACAGCTGACGGCGGCCGTCATATCGACTTTTAATGTAAGTAATTCCAAGTAGTTTAATGTTGTACACTTAAATTAACTGTATTCGAACAGAAAAGTAAGAAAATGCCAAATACGTGCTGCGTCCCTGGTTGCAAAAGCAATTATAGTTCAAGAGACAAGGTTCCTTACGGTTTTTCGTTTTCCGAAAAATGAAGACAATCACAAAAAGTGGTTAAAATGTATTCACCGGGACAATTTTGAAATTACTAGTTACTCCAGGGTTTGTATAAAGCATTTCTCCGACATTTTCATTATTCGGGTAGACAAGATGACTAGATAAGACGATACAGTATTAACAGTTCCACGAGACCAGATAAAACTTGCCGAAGACACGTATCCCACCATTTTTGAAAATCAGCCATCATATATGAAAAGGATGTAAATGATGAGTAACGGGAAAATATAGACCTTTGCAACTACAAATGACCGAAAACCTGTAGGCTCTAGGTGGTCCAGGGGCCGAGATCTCGATGGAACAGACAGATAGGCAGACGACGGAATAACGAGCACATAAGCGTTACCTCAACTTCGTTGTGTTACGCTAAAAAAGGCAGATGTGTGTATTAGAATGTATAAATTTTATTTGTTTTCAGCTCGGTTTTCAGTGAGTATTTGTTGTTTATGTACGTATTTAATAAAATTTTTGCATAATAACACGTGTCTATAATTAGGAAACAACATATAACAATCCTGCGGCTCAAAATAAGTAATTACTAAATGTTTTCGCGTTAAATGAGTACGCACGCGAATCAAATTGCATTTAAACACATAGTATCGCGTTGCAGTGGCCCATCTCCAGTTGTGACGTCACTAAATCAATGTCACGGCTAGATCTATCGGTAGGCTACGGTTGACTACGTGTTGAAACGTGTGCACTTAAATAATCTGACGATTTGAGCGACTTTGTGATTTAGCGAATTTGAGATTTCTGTTATTTGTCGAGGGCGGTCACGTGATCTAAGAGCCGTGAAGGGAAATTCCTATTCCTAAATGTCCAAAAGGTGGTTTACGATTTGCGAGAATTCAGAAATTTCGTACATTTTACTTGTTAGGTTACAGATCACATTTCTGACAGTCCCTAACCTAGGAGAGATCTCCGAATCCCCCACGCAGTAAAACGGTCAATTTCACAAGTTACAGAAAGCACCCCACTCTTCAAGTTATTCATTAACTGATTACCCAAGTCAGGCACCTTAACAGATACCGAATGCAATTTTCCGATGCAGATCTAGTTGTCGTAAAGAATCCTTAATTAACGTCAATCATGGATTTTGTTGAAATTTTGACACGTTTATCTCAAAATTTTCTGTTGTACTCTGTAATCGTTTACATTTTAAATTTATGTGGAAATTACTTCAAAAATCGTGTTAAATTTCGTAACCATAAATAAATTCTTGTGCACACAGCGTTAAAATGGCAGATAAAGAAACGTTCTTCAGCATGACCCGGAAAGACTACAAATGGCCTTTCTCAAAACCACTGGCCGCAAAGTGAGTACCTTCCTGCTTACGCGGAAAAACCCATTTGTGGGCATCTTTCAGACCAACTCAACCGCCCGAAAAGACCAAAGGAAAAAATTTCTTCATCAAAGGACCAGTGGACGCCTATTGCCACTGCGATGGTCACCTTTACGATCCCTTAACGAATAGGTACCTGAAACTCGCCGAGAAGGAAGGACTCCTCCTCGACGAGCTTACTACTCTTCACAGTGACGTAGGTCAGCCCTCTCAACAATTTGCAACTTTTCAATTTAATTTTAGATGGCCAATTTGAATGGCGAAATTTTGGAACACGAGTGCGACAGTTACAATGAGAAAATGGAGACGACTTATCGAATCGATTTTGCGAAACGAGGTAAAAGTTTTGCATTTTAAAATTATTTTCGGCGGTAGGAATCACCGTGGCCGGTTTCTCTTAAAGGTGTCGCAAGTGCTTGTTAAATTTATATCTACTCATAAATACTAATTCGCACATTCCTAGGAAGTCTATTAATACAATAAATTTATAGATCACAGTCCTATCTTAGAATTCGAGGAAAGAATTAGTAACGCAAGTTTTCTCTGCTAGACTAGGAGGAGACCTTGTATACGTAATTGACTTTCACTGTTTTAATGAAGCAGAAATTAAGTCCTTAATTAGTTTACGGATGTTATAATCGGCTGTGATTTGGTCCATTGAGCTTGAGCTTTGTCCTAATATTTGTGTAATAGGTACCAGGTATTCTAACTATAACTTGAAAATTAATTTACGGGAAAAAAACTGCGTAGATGTCTTGCGGAGTTTCTAAAGTGTTGGTCGGAAATCTCCATTACAATACACATACGCTTTAACGTCGTCCCCCAGCGCGAATAACTTCCTCTAGAGGAACCAAGCTAGTAATTTTTTACAGAATGGAACCATGAACCTTATACGTGCTGGTATGCGATGAACCATCCAAAGATCCAAAGATTCTTCCACAATTCCCATTAACCTCCAGCAACATTTTAATCTTAATAAGAATGGAACAGACAGGTTGGGGTGGCTGGTGATTGTCTGATCAAGGTGCAATGGATTCGCATTCGTCTTTTGCACACGTCAAGGTGTTTGTGTTTTCCAAGCCTTTCAGGGCGATGGTTTTGTCGACTATATCTACTTTTAAGTCATACAGCCATTCTGTAGTTCTGGTCCTATCAAAACATTTTTGTAATCAAAGTAGTAGTGGAGAGTTCAAATAACGCAAATTGAAACCAAATTTTATGCCAAATTCCAAAAAAACAAACAGTTTTGGAACGTTCTAATAAGTAGATGTTAAAACTTTCTCGGCCTCTTTGATGTGGTTGGACCCTCATCGTGCTGTAACCCATTATCTTCTGGGTCATCTTGCATCTCCTCCATCAATTTGTTGCCGAGGTCCTCCTCTTCTCCCTACAATCGATGAGGGGCGGTGAATGCTTTTTGCTCAACAGGAGCGTGAGCTGGACTAATTGGCTACACGTTCAACTTTTTGGTACAGCTCCGCAGATGGACACCATAACTCCAAATAGGTGTTAGAACCTATTGGCATAGGGCCAGTATATTTTCAAAAAGTCTGTCCGGTAGTCATAGTACATTTTTCTGTACGTAAGGTCAAGCTCCGTTTTTTCTTCTTGGGCGCGTGTACCAGGTAAAGATTTCATCAAAGGGCCTTCCGATAAATTTGACAGCTTCTCAATTATCCGACGTCGATGTGGCCGGATTTTGCCTCATTGAGATAAATCCAACGTGTATGACACTCATGTTCGTTTTAATTTTTCTTCCTCGAAATAAAGTCGCGAATGGCTTTAAAGGTTCTTAGAAATCCTTGGAGACATTTGATAACATAGCCTTAAAGAATTTCAAATATTTTTAGACACTCATAAAAACCTTGAAAGGCTCTTCTAAAATGAGCTCTAAGAAAGACTGTTTCAAATCGATTCACACTCAAAGATTCTTGGAGACCTGCATAGATTCTTGGTGACATTTTGAAACTCTTACAGGTTTGACTATAAAAGATCTTAGAAGGCTCAGGTAATAAAATCCTCTTGAAATGTTTATATCATTTCGAAAACTTTTGATGGGGCGCATAAAAGCTCCAAAAGAGCCTTAAAAACTATTCAATGTTCGCTTTAAGACCAAAAATTCGTAAAAGCTAAATGCCTATTGAATTGTTTTAACAGGCTCTTGGAGACTGAAAAGTGAAAACCTTTAAAACTCTTAAAGGTGCTCAAAGATTAGTAAATATCTACAAGACTTCGTCTCTTAAGGGTTCATATTTTTTAACGCTCTTAAATCTCGTAAGTCCTCAAAAACTCACAACAAGTTATATAAATGGAGGGAACGGTTTGGAACAGCTGGCCAGTATAGGTGGGTCTTGGCTACAGTTTTAGATTCGTAAATGCCTTTTTAAAACCTACGTTCATAAAGGCATTTAAAGACCGTTAAGGGCTCATAAAAGCTTTTCATGGCATGTCTCTTAATATACTCTTAAAGCGCACACAAAGACTATGATCCAACTAAAAGTTCTAATACTATTGTAAGACCATTGGAACACCTTGGGATTATTGACGATCATCAATGGACACTAATTGAGACTATCAAAAGCCTGTAAAAATTTTAAGGAGGCCTTTGACGAATGATCCCTAACGCTGCTAAAGCGTTTAAAAGCAGCGTTTAAAATGCTCTTCCAGATTCGGTTGTTAAATACACTAAAACATGTCTAAAAGCTCTTAAAGATTCTTAATGTCCCTTTATTAGAGGTTCAAATTGCAACTAAGGAACTGTGGAACTACTGAAAGTTCTTGAAGAGAGAACATTTGATGACTGATGGTGGACCTTAAATATTATTGATGGCCTAAATCATCTTAAAAGTTGTTAAGGATTTAACATCAGCATTAAAGGTTGTTAAGAGCTTTAAAAACCAATGAAGATTTTTAAGTGCACACTCTTACACTATTAACCTCAGAAAACTCTGAAAAACTCTTGTTGACTCTTGACAACTCTAGGTTGACCTTGCCCATCCCGACGTCGTTATCAAGTGATGATTTGCCTTCACAGACGCCCCTTGATTTTTAACCGTATTGGTCATGCCTCTAGAAAAGATTGTGCTTTCCGATTTTTACTGGGTCTACGTTTTTGAAAATTCAATCGGTTCATCTTCGACAGTGTTAGGTATATTCTTTAGTGGGCTATGGTTTAATTCGACTACATTTTGATTGCATATTTTCTTTAGTTCCTTGTTTTCTTCCTGCAGAGGTGAGACTTTAGATGTTAGGTCGAAACATGAAGCTTCCAATTCCCTAAATTGTGTCAGCACGCATCTATAATTGTCTCCTGTTTGATGTTCCAGACCTTCTGGTGCTTCGCCCACAATCCATGTGACCTAGGTACCTCCGAAAAATTTTCGTTGGGTTGGTTACTATCTGAAGTGAATCTTGTAAATTGCTTGTGGGCGTATACCGCCTCCGCGTTTGCAGGTTTTAAATTAAGGGTTTCACCTCCCAAGCGCATATGGACTAGTTTTCCGCCCATTTTCAGATTTTCTTCGCTATCACTTGTCGTGACATTACCCGGATCCCACCACTTGGGTTGGGTTAGGGATGAACTTTCCTGGTTGTTGCTCTTATTCTTCAGCTAGTATATAACCAGGTTTTGGAAACTAAAAAAAAATATCTTTCAGGCATGACACCAGCAGAATACGTAAAACTGATGCCTGCGGTGGACTCACCCGCGGGAGTTCCAGTAAAAAATCCCACGATTGGTGTCGGAAAAGGTTATCGCGACCCAACGAGATTCAGATATTCGCCCTTTCCACGTCCTACGATTGACTCGTGCCCGCCACTGACATTTGGAACCAGTAAGTGTTGTTTTTAACACAGTTTTAACTGTGTTGAATGACGTATTTTAGCTCCCACAACGGTGGCGACTTGGTTTGGTGTAGAGGGGGCAAGAACCGAGTATCAGGATGCCATAAGTAAAACCGGTCTGGGGATAATGAAGAATCGCCAACAGTATAAAGAACCGCTGCCATCCAGCCGACGTCGATATGCTGAAACCAATCTGTAGTTCGATTTTAATAAAGATCCTTGGCCAGCAACACCCATTTTTGTAAATTGATTTAAGAATGCCCTGATTTATTCGTTCATTTTCAAAATTTGAAGTAGTACACCATTCGTTTGGCTTAAAAGAAAAATTCAAGTTATGGCTCAAGCATTTACAACCACCTACCAAAAATATTACCGACAACACCCAATTGAAAGGCGAAAGTCGTAAGTGTTTGAAAAATTCTTTTGACAGTTTATTGACATTTACACCTTTAAGGCTACGCCCCGTGGACAGGTTTGCTTCGGAATTACCAGAAGGGGGTAACTGGATTGTTCATAAGAAAGTTGGAGAGGATGATGAGGTACGTCTGGTCTTTTGTTGATGCACTCATTCAGTAATTCTAGGGAGGAGTTGGGCTTAAAGCCGCCTTGGCGGCCATACATAAAATGAACAGAGGAAGATTATGGACCACGTACCAAATGGATTACTGTGGAGACAGTATGTGATCACAAAAATGTAAAATGCATTATATCGTACTGTTTGCAGTGATCGCCAAAGAGGGAGAGGATGAGGAGCAAAAACCGACTGGTAATGCGATCTTAATCCATGGTAATAAAATTTACGGTCCAAAAACCCAACAAATTCCTCCACCACTTACTAGTGCAAGGCGTAGTAAGTATCAGCTGCAATTGATCAAGCAACAATCGCTCGAATTCGTTTTCAATTAACGAAAAATATCGAAATCGTAAAATTATTATTATATTGGCATGTGGTGAAAATTTATATTTCAGAAAAAGTAAACCGACCAAAAGTGAATGAGATGCCAACTTTAATGGCGTCGTTCGAAATTAAAATTTACTCGAAATTAATTCGCCACTATATCACTCGTTGAGAGAATAAATTACGGGAATAAATCTAATGTAGCGTCATATTTTCTCATTTCAATTATATATAATAAGGGTAATGATTTATAAACACGGTTGTAAATGATTGTGGCGGCTGTACAAAGAGAATTAAACACAAAATTACCGGCAATCAGGTTAATTGGAACCTTTCTGAGTAAAATGTTGCCGGTCACTTTACTCTTAGTAAGCAGAGTGTGAATTTTGGAAGGAGTTTACACAGTTTTTAGTAGAACTATTTTTAATGGAAAGCAGATGTGGTTATGTAAAAAAATATTTAGACATCAAAGGTTTGAAATTCGCGCACTTATTTCGAGATGAGTAAACTGTAGGTACTTCAAACGATGATGTGTGGTTGATGCATTTGCATACTCAACCCCTTTTTTCTTTCAGTATACGGTTACATTCGTCCATCCAGAATGTACTATCCGATCACGACGTATGAGGTCACGCACGGAAAAGTTGGATACGATGTCTTACTAGCTAACCATCAAGCTACTCAAAAAAGGCAAATGTAACATATTTAAAAAATATCCATTTGTATAAAAACTGGTTGTAAATACACATAAAAATCTTCTTTTCGTTCGTACGTCATTCATATGGTGCTGGATTTGTAATGACCACGCACTAGGTTGGTTGTTATAGATTTCGGACACTGTATTGGCGATGGTTATATACAAAATCCTTGAGGCGAGCCAAATATCGCGCCCTCGCTCAATATTCCGGTAACTATGCCGCTAAAGGCTCTTACCATATTCAAGAACTTGGTGGGAGAACCAAATCTTTACTTCCACGAACCCATATAAAAAGGATCATTTTAACGAGACAATTTACACGGATGCTAGTATATCAGGCTGTCTGGGGTGCCATATTTAAGGGAAAACAAGGAAACGGTTGGTGGACGGCGAAAGAGACGACGCTAGTGAGACATTACTTGAGCCTGACAGCACCCCTTCGCTCTTCCGGTGATGAAAGTCTGTTCTTTACTCATAAAAAACCGCACGGTCAAAAAGACTGGAGGGGATGTTTCCATATTCTCTGCATACTCAACTCGTGGAGTCATATATCTATTTTGTTCTTGGTTTTGCGGCTTTAAACTAAACAACTAACATATACAGGGTGGTGACTTGCGCAACGCATCATAGGAATATCAATGTAAAATTCATAACATGCGATTATTGGCTCCCCAAATTATTTTAGAGCAAAAATGTATTAAGGTTTTTTGTAGAAACAAATTTTTTACGTCAATAAACCGTATTAGTTTTCAATTTTTTGCATAATAAAGACGGAAAATTGGAAAAATAAAATCCCCATCTTATCAATAATCTGTGATGCCATGGAATTTTCTAAAACAAAAAGATATCCAATTATCAATTAGCAGCCGTTCGAAATGGATTTTATGATCGACTTGGTTACTGTCTTGCATTTAATGGGGACTTATTCGAACATTTATTGTAAATTGTTGTATTAGGAAACCGTTTTTAGTAATTTGGTTTTTCTTTATGTTGAATTCGCTGTTCTAAATTAATATAATACTTTTTGATAGAATTTGATTTGTTTTATAGCAGACATTCCATGGCATGACGGATATTGGCGTAGCTTTTCTATTATAAAATTCCATGGCATCACAGATTATTGAAAAGATGGGGGTTTTATTTTTCCAATTTTCCGTCTTTATTATGCAAAAAATTAAAACTAATACGGTTTATTGACGTAAAAAATTTTTTCTACAAAAAACCTTAATACATTTTTGCTCTAAAATAATTTGGGGAGCCAATAATCGCATGTTATGAATTTTACATTGAAATCCCTATGATGCGTTACGCAAGTCACCACCCTGTATACAGTTATAGGTATAGTCGGACTGATGTCTCACATGGTTACCATCGAACTTCACAGGTAAGTTTGTTTGATCTTTAATTATTCTGTGCAAATAATCTAAATTGAATTAGGAATGATTCAAATAATAATCGATGTAGTACATCCACTCTGGTCTCCAATTTGGAACACAAAGGAGCACCGAATCCACCCCATTAAAAAGTGTCAATTCTATATAGTCCAGTCAAATTAGCACAATTTTGGACAAATAAAAACATTAATTCGTAAAGATCTGAATTTTGGTATACACATTTGTTGGGACTTTCTAATGAACATACTAAAAGTCCCTGTCAAAATCTGTTGCGCTCGAGACGCCATCTTGGAAAAACGGTACACTTTTCCAGTTTTTTGCCCATATCTCGGCAAGTATTACTGACACGAAGAAATAGTTTACATGAAAAATATAGTTTACTAAATTCCCTATAAAAAAGAGTATTTACATTTTTTTTATATCTCCAGTACTTTACCTGTAATCTCAACGTTGAATACGTCAGAACGCGTTTAGGCCCAGTATCGTAGTTATAGAAGGAGGCCGTCTTTTTTATGACTACACCGATAGCTGTAAGTTGTAACAAAGCCAAAAAATGAACAGAATCGTCGTGCGATAAAGCATTCTAGCAATGACATAATGTTTGATGATACATCATGTTTTTTTCAAAAAGGTAAGCGAAAATGTGTAAAAGTGTTGGAGCAACGAAATGATTTCTGAAGCTGAAGAATGCCCTTATCTGCATAAGTATAAGGTGCCTGCTAGTGAGAGATATTAAAACCGACATCGTTATCAGACCTTCAGAATTACCTTGACCCTGTTCGGACTGCACTGAAGGCTCCCAGTCCACACTCAGTGCTCACATTGAAGATGAAAGTTCTATTGAGTTGAGAGAGAGTTTTATGAGAAACCTTTAAACGTGTCTCATACCAAGCTTGAGTGCGACGACTTCCCATATATAAGAAATACTGGTAGAATTTTCAATGAATTTAATGATTTGTAATAAGTTGTAAAAAAATATCTGCGTGACTGTTTCGAGAGCTCAGGATACTTGATTCCCTATTCGATGTCGGATTATAGCTAAAGTATTGGACATACAAAAAAATGTTAATATGCTTTTTTATGGGCAATTTAATAAACTATATTTTTTATCTGAACTATTTTTCCGTATCAATAATATTGCCGATATATAGGCAAGAAACTGAAGAAGTGCTCCTTTTTTCCAGGATGGCGCCTCGAGCGCAACAGATTTTGACGGGGACTTTTAGTATGTCCAATAGGGAACACTAATGAACATGTGTACCAAAATTCAGATCTTTACCGATTAATGTTTTTATTTTTTCTTATTTGACTGGACTAATAGGAATGTTTCAAACGTAATTATGTGACGCGAATTGTTACACCCAAAGTAACTCTGCCATTTATCAAGTCAAGCCAAAATAGAATCGACATTGATGCAATAGATAAACATTTTATAAAATGCTATGTACATAAGGCAAGGCGTAGCAGAATTTTATACACAATAACAATGTGCATCACAAATTACATAATAAGAAGCTTATTCCAAAATGTTAATCGTCACCCTCGTTTATCCATGTCTAGATCTATTTGTTTGAGTTCGCGATGTTTAGTCTTCCATTTTATTTTCAATTTATGGCAATAGTTTGCGCCTCAGTTTTTCGCAACTGTATTTTCGCTTCTGGCAGAACTTCAGTAATCATTATAGTGATGTAGTAACTACTAGGTAATACATTATAAACCGATTTACCATGGAAGCTAAACCTAAATGTATGGGCTAAGTATATCTAACCGGCGTCGAAACGTCATTTCTAAATTTATTCTACTTATATTTGCACATCATACGCTGTTGACGTCAGTAGAGAATAGATCCAATTCCTGTCAATGCCCTTTTGCTTTATACAGGTTTATTGTTTGTAGTTTCTGGTGCGTGTCTTAAAATATTTTTACACCTTTCCGGGTAACGCCAAATATATGAAGTGTAAATAGACGAGGATTATACGGTAGATTGAAAGGAAAAAAGATCATTATCTGTCTTTCCAATTGCGTGGGTTCAAACGATTGCAATAAAATTACCTAAATATTTGCATTTACTAAAAGATATTTTGCTCGTACTTGGAACCATTTTAGATGTCATTCCCAAACGTAAAATACACCTTTTGTTTTGTATTGACAAGGTTTTTTGGCTTTGCTGTGGTATGCAATGTGACTTAGACCCAACAACAATGCCCGAGACAAAATGGTGGCGTATCCAAATTGGTTATTACGAGCCGTCGCCGTTTTCCGAGTGAGTAAATTCTATAATAGTCACCTCGGGATTAAACACGTTGGTGGACATCAAACGCTAGAGAAATTTATTATGTATATTTACTGCACTATTACTAATCCAGATGAAATTTCAGAATATTGGCGCCATTACGATCGCGTTTGAAGGGAGAGATGGGGCGATTTACTGACTCATCCCGAGAGATGGCATAATTTCGACCAAATTAAAAATGTCGAGAATCTTATCTGATCAGACGTTTCGAAATCTGGCGATCGTACAAAAATGTACGGAAGCGATTCTATCTCAAAAGGAAGAGATGATTAAAATTTTACAAGTGTGGCGTTCGTAAAACCGCACCCACTGCCAAAAGGTCAAAACACCACGCGTAAAAAAGATCAAACAAATTCGGAATGGGCTATTATATATTTTGCCATATCCATCAACAAAAGAGATTAATCACACCCATAACCGATTTACTACTCAGAAAAAAAATGAATATTTTTTTGAACACAGGTATCGTTGTTGTAATGCTTTGAAAAGATAGCATGCCTTATAGTTTTACCAATTCCCACCTGTCGGTATTCTGTATAATATGATTTTCGT